TATCTTTGATACTTTTTTCTTTTTTCTTGTCTGCTTGTATTATTCCAAACAGCCCATCTTCAAGAACCGAGGTTCTCTCTTCAACTTCCATTATCCTGCTGGTTAAACTCTCCAATGTGTGTTTTATTTCGCTGAATAACTTCTTCAGTTCAGCAAGTTCTGCTACATTTTTTTTTTGTCTTTTTTCCGTGTCCGGCAACGGATCGCAACCCTCAGTGTTGCCCCCGTACCGGACCGGGGACCGGCAACGGGATCGCAACCCTCAGTGCTGCTCCCGCGCCTCGCTCAGCCAGTGAGCGGGAGCCGGTCTGTATGTGGGATCCGAACCCTCGGACGGGAGCGCCGCCGCGCTTCCCAAGCGGCGCACTATCCAGTGTGCCACCGGGCCGGCCCCTGAGTATGGATTTTCTAACCACTCAAATTTTCCCTACTTTTTCCTAATTATAGTTTGTAATAGTGGGTCTATTCTTCGTGCTTCTTTGGGTATTCTTTATAAAGTACTTTTACTTTCCATTTAATTTTGATACCTTTAAACCAGAATGGTTCTTGGATTTCTAGTTTTTATCTCAATCTTTGGCCCTACCATTACTTTTCAGTTCATTTACATTAATTATCTTCCTTTTTTTTTTTTCTGACCCTTCATCCTACTTTCTTACTTCTGACCTTATAGTTTTCTATTGGGTTCTTAAATTCCATTACTCATCACCCTTATCACTGTTGCACATCTCTTCACACCTCACCTTTAACTATCTCTGCTTTGTCTTCTTGTTCTAGCCAATTAATAGTGCTATTGTACTCCTCTAAGTTTGATAAATAACATTTTAAGATATTTCATTAAAAGTTCAAAATTAAAAGTTTTGTTGCTTTTAAGTCACTTAGAAATCAATTCTCAATGCACTTGAAGGGGCAAATTGAAGAAGTACTGACTCCTTTTTGGCTAAAATTAACTTCTCTTTCAGTTTTATCTAACATCAGTTTCACGTTATGTATACTCAGAAGAGCAACACTAAAAAAGAAATAAAGTCAACAATATAAATGGAACATGTCCCCAGTGCCAAGTGTTGTCAGATCTCTGAATAACATAAACAGAGAAATATTTATCAAAGAGGGAAGGATAGCAGGGACAATGCTATAGCACAATCTACTTATTTGAACCATTTTAGGCTCTATCTCCAATTGAAGGAGGTAGGAAAAAGCTTTGGGAGAACAAGGCCCATTCCTTCCTGTGCTTTATCACTTCTAAGTCATAATCAAGAGCTGATCAATTATATGTCCATTTTCATATTCTTTTGACCAGTAAACTAAAAGTAAGAAAAAAGTGAACAACTAGATAGTTTGTAAAACTTTGGAATTTAGGAAAGTTTACCTTCTGCTAGATTTTTTATAGTTGTTTTAATCAGAAAACACCTTCATGTAGACCACAAAACTTGGATTTCCATACATTCATAGATCAAAATGTGTGTTATATCTGCTGTTGGGTTGAACTTGAAGTCAAGTTATGTCAGCTCTCATATAATGCTTACCTTTCAGAATTGCTGTGAGAATTAGATAAGCCAACATGTATTTCGTTTATGCTGTACATGGAATTTGATAGGTATTATGAAAAGAAGGCCACCCTGGCCAAAATATCTTTCCTGGCTGGAGAGCCAGTGTTTGAAGCTGCTTCAGAGTCCCAAGTTAAAATGCAGAAGAGATGGAGATAGGGGAGGTTGGAGGGAGTCACAGACTTCATCTCCTGATTCAAGGTTTTTTCCTGCTTTTCTTTGCCTTCCATATCTCAGACATCATGTTCTGCCTGCCTCAGTGCTTGAAAACTGTTTGTTTTTGTGTATATATACATGGATACCTGCTCCCACACTTCCTTCTCCTGGCTCTTCTTGATTCCTATTAAAATCCTTGTCCCCTTTCTTTTAAGGTTTGTCAGGTCATGTATCTTCACCACTCAAACTCTCTGGCGGCTTCCCATTTCACTCAGAGTCAAGCTCCAAATCTATGCAAATATCACCCTGAGTCTTCCTGCCACCCATAGACACCTGTTTGACTTAATCTCCTCCTTTCTCTGGGCAGTAGGTACTGTGGTATAGGTGGTGGAGACTATGGAGCAGATTGTTACTGTGGAGATGACAAAGACTTTTCAGACGTTTTCTTAATTTTTTGGCTGTGCAAAGTAATTTTACTTCCTTTCTCAGCTGCCTCACTTCTGGTGTAGTCACCCCCAACCCCTTTCCTGCCCCCTCCCCATATGCATATTTCCTAAGGAAAAAGGTTATGGTTACCTATTATGGTTAACTAGGCATTGCAACTCCATCAGTATGGAGGAATAATGTACATTGAAATATGTTTTTACTATCTCCTGAGAACCATGAATAGAAAATATACAAAAAGAATTTGTATGACCATAAACTTCAAGTCATCTCTGGGAAAGACTTGATCCTACTCCTTCGCATTTCTTTGGAATAAGTTAAACTGAATTGGAGAGTGTGTGAACTCACCCATTTATCAATTCCTTGCCTCGGAGTACTGACTTGTATACTATTTGATATTAAATTGCCCTTGCCAAATTTAAGCCTGTGCTAAGATTTTATGTAGTAAAACATCATTTTATTCAGGTACAGCTAATTTAAATTTACATATGCATACCCCTGAGATGATCCTTTGTACTGAAAGTTTGCTAATTAAATTACTAGAGTAAATTATACTGGAGGGATATTCCTTAAATATCAAAAATATCCAAATAAAAAATAGAAAAATATCCAAATTAAAGAATTGCCTCCTAATCCCTAAAATTGCTTTGGCATTGATCTGTTTGCATTCAAATAATATGTTAATTACCAATAGTTCTTATGAAAGTTATAAAGCAATTCATGGCAGAATCTCTTCTTGAAATCATATTTACATGATTAAAAGAAATACAATGGCATTTCTTTTAAAAATATTGTATAGTTCAACCAGGAGAATATTTGGATAATCTGATAATTAATTAGGAATATAAACTAAGGTTTCCTGAAATAGAAGCTTATTTGTTCATTAGTTTATATATTTATTTTTCAAGTCAACAATTTTAGCAGATGGAATAGAACCATATTTCATTCAGCAAATATTTACTAAGCTCCCACTGAACCCCACAATGCTAGAGGAATGCACCGACGGTGAGACAGCATGTTCACTGGCCTGACGGATGGCTTACAATTGAAACTTGACTTGTGTCACTATCTTTACGCAGGTCACACAACTGGTCTCTCATTAAATAATGACCGGCTGTATAAGCTCACATATTCCACTGAAGTTTTTCTTGATCGAGGCAAAGGAAAACTCCAAGACAGTGTGGGCTACCGAATTTCATCCAATGTAGATGTTGTGTTACTGTGGAGGAGTCCTGATGGTGATGATGACCAACTGATCCAAATCACGGTGGGCATTTTCTACCAGAAAAATGCAAAAATTGGATGTGAGCAAAGTCTTTGAGAAGTGTACCATTTGACTGCATTTGTTCTGTGACCTTGGTTATATATACATTTAGTTTGTTACCTATCACTAAAACAAGGAGATCTACAGTTTTGAAGTTTTTGCTGATCAAAAGTGATCTGTTGAAGCAGGCAATAGAAGGTATATGCTGGTGAGTAACTGGAGTATGAGGTCCAATTCTATATATTATATTAATAGGGACATTAAACTAGGATCCATTCAAAATGTTCTGGAATACATGGCATGTGAATCTGGTCTGGAATTCATGTCATGTGAAAAGCAATTGAGACCACTCTAACTGAAAGAGGAGATAAATTAGGAGGTGCCTGAGTTCCTTGATTCAACAGGTGAAATTACCAGTGAGGGAGTAAACCTATTCTGTCTCCTTCCTGAGGAGGGAACTGGGTACTCCCCTGCATGACAGTGTTTGGTCAGTTACAATGGTTTAAATTTATTTGTTAACAAGGGAGGTCAAATTAGATAGTCTCTTCCAGTTTTAATATATGGTGATTCCATATTTGCTTTTCAAAAACCTAAAGGCAATAGATGCCTTTAGTAAAGTTCTTTACTCGTCTGCATGTAAATGTGAAACAGGTGTGTAGGACCAACTACTTGGAACAAGTAGTTGCCAATGTCTTTTATAATGAGGTGTCAATGCAAAACATTTACCAAGTGATCTTTGCTTCTTTGGATGTCTCTAATAGCTGTTGTGTTTTCCAGGTTGGATCAGAATTTCATCATCCATCTGTCTGAGCCAATTCTTGATAGAACAGTAAACTATTCTGCAGAAAACATTATATAGCATTATATATTACCTTATTCAGTAATTAAACTGTTTATCCTTAATTTTATATATACAGATGAGGTAGAATGGAGCAGGAGTCCTTTCAGACAATTGGTACAGTAAATGAAGTGGCAGCAACTGTTCAAAACAATTGAAGAGAGTGACGATGACATAAAAGACCTATATTTAAATCACAGTTATTTTAAGTCTGAAGTATTGGTATTTTGCCTTATTCAAAAACCTAATTTTTGAATATCTTCTCCATTCTTTTAAAGTGAATAGCAAGGTCCTGTGAGTCATGAATTTAAAAATGATGGAAGAAATTATGGCCAACCCTGTCTATTCCTTTACTATTTTGTTTTCTAAGAGACTCTGATGGAGACAGACATAGGAAGTTTTTCTAATAGGTTTCTTTTCATGACTCCAGATAAAGGATGTAAGTGTCGAAAATGTGAATCAGCAAAGAGGGGAGAAGAGCATCTTCAAAGGAAAAAATCCATCTAAAATCATAGGAAAGGAAAACTTGGAAGCTCTGCATAGACCTATACTCCTTCATCTTATCCATGGAAAGGTAAAAAGATTTTTGGGATTCCACATCTTATTTCTCCAACTTCCTATTTTCCTTCTCTTCAGTAGATATTCTTTTGAGGTAATCATGTTGTCATCACTTTTATGGTAAAAGGAATTATTTCAAGAACTAATAAACAGAATTTCCAAATTAAATGCTTCCAAAGTAAATCAGTGCTGAGTTCTCTTACATTTTCTAGCCAATTTGTTTCCTATTTTTGTGAAATTCTTTATAGTAGAATTAAGTATTTATTTATTGATGAAAGGCATTTTGAAAATATGCATTCCTCATTAAGTTAGGAAAGATTACAAATAGTATGATACAACAAGTCATCATAGCATGATTGGATAAAATCAGGAAAGTAGGTGGATTATGAGAATGAAATGATCTAACTTAACTAAGTAATATTAACTTGTGAGGATATCAGTATCTAGCAACAGTACAAAGGTAAAGCTTTCGAAAGGAGTTGGCATGTTTAAGGTACAGTTGATTTTTTAAAAAAGAGTTTAGAGATTATTTAAAAACTGTGACATGGAAAAGCATTTTATATATTAAAATAAAGAATGAACACTATAATATCCCTTTGAAAATATGCTCAAGAAATTCTGTAAGTATGCATGACTTATGGTTTGACTCTAGTCTATTAAAATGGTCCTAATAGGACCGGCCCGGTGGCGCACTGGATAGTGCGCCGCTTGAGAAGAGTGGCGGCGCTCCCGCCCGAGGGTTCGGATCCCACATACAGACCGGTTCCCGCTCACTGGCTGAGCGAGGCGCGGGGGCAACACCGAAGGTTGCGATCCCGTTGCCGGTCCCGGTCCGGTACGGGGGCAACACTGAGGGTTGCGATCTGTTGCCGGACACGGAAAAAAAATAAATAAATAAAAAAATAATAGTGTAGGTTAAAGGGTTTTTTTTTTTTTTTTTTTTTCCCTTG